GGAAAACAGAAGTAGAACATAAGGCTGTTTTCCCTTTAAACAAAATTGTTTGCACTAAACTAATGGCCACTACTCATCTTTGTACATATTCAAGATTAAAATTATAGTTTTGTGGCTCACTTGCAACTAAGCTTTATGGTATGCTAGCAGTGTGTAGCTTGTGATTCTAGGCTAGATTTCTCACAACAGATTAACTGCCTGCCTGTGTATTTCTCATAATATTACATTATAAATTGGTTATGCAAAAATCACAAATAATTTACCTACAGAAAATCTAGCAGTTGTCAGGCATCTCAAGTCTTTTTGCATGTTTGATTTCAAGCAATTGTTATAAACCCTATTTATGTGGATAACGCTGGGACTGAATTTTCTTCATAGCTATCTGGGTAGTTCTAGGTTTTACACAGTAGACCTGAGTTGGTAAAGAAAACCGCTGACGTTTTTGCCTTGCCTTTTAATCACAGGGCATGATCCCGAGCTGGTTAAAGGTACCTTGGTCTACCATCTCCTAACATCTCAGTATTTGAAAAAAATGAGCTCTTACAGGAAGTTTAACAGTCCTTGAGGTACTTCTCACCAAAGAATCTGGGATTTAACTCTTAGGTAAGCAGAAGATTTTTGAAAGTATTTGCATTCGTTTTCATTAAAAATCTCCATAGATTACTAATTCAGAATGACAACAAAAGGTACTACTTAATTGAAATAGGATACATTAAATACTCACACTTTCACTGAGATATTGCACATAGGTGGCCCATTTACATAGCTTTGTAGCTAATAATTTAATGCAGAATTACTAAAAATATGAATACCAGTATGTAAAATAGAAGATATTTTAAATATTCCTTGGGAAGAACTGTATCTTCTGGAGTCACTAAAATATTAGACTTCCACTTGCGTATAAGTACAACTCAAATGTTAACAAACTTTATAAAATTATAAATAAAAAGCCTCACTAGCAAATTCTAATCTAGACTTTTAAAAATATATCTGGATCACCTGCCTATTAGTCATGCACACGCACAAAAAAATAAAGGCTATGAGTACAGTGTGCACACACTCACAGAGTAAGCAAAACTATTTAGATTTGAATCTCGGTGGTATTTTACTTAACGATATATAATACTCAAAAAATACTGTCTAACCATCCATAATGTACAGTTGCACTGGGCTCTAAAGAGGCACATTCTTTGTACACTGTTGACAACAGCCCTGAAATCACAAATTTTACAGAGAAAGGTAGGTAAGCATTACACGCACAGACATGAACAAGTAAACAACCAGACAGTATAGTTGACACTGCATAGAAAAAACACAGTCCAGGTCAGCACTGAAACAATGCAAAAATTGAACAAAACTGGTATGTTTGCTTTTGAGATTGTGTGTTTGTTTCTTTTCTTTTTTTCATTTTTGCTTTAACCCTTGCTTTTAGTCTCAATTATCTAAGTAGCCTGGACTTGTTTTGGTCCTACTGCAACGCCATTACAGTCGAGAATGTACTGTAAACAACCTTGAGGTGGTGGTCGCTGAGGTGGGATTTTGTTTGGCTCTGGCTCCTTTAGTGATCCACTCTGGAAAATACATTTGAAAACAGAAGAGAAAAAAAATTAGAGTAGCTTAGTTCCAATTTTCCACTAATTTGTCTTTATTTTCATTAGAAATCTCTTTATTGGTTGGGGCCGAACATATACTTTTAATTTACTCCAGATAACATTTTCTAATTTAGTTGCTGTCTGACATGATATATGAATCCTGGACTAATCCAAAGCTGAGTTCTTAAAAAAAAAATTGTTTTCCCTTTGCAGCATGTGATCCCGATACACGGAGTGCCTCCTCAGCTCTTACCTCTATTTGTGTACAGCTTTTCTCCCTCAGTTCCTAGCCCCTCGAACGCCTTTTCTGTATCTCACTGCTTCTGCTCTCTTTTTTTAGGATAGACTGAATAGAAAATGGACTTCAACAGATACCTTTGTGTAATTTAAGAAATAATTTCTTCTTAATTACATTCGCTTGTATCTGGAAGCACTAGCACAGCAGGATTTTTTTTGCTAGTGATATTTTCACTTTGATTTGCTGACAGTAAATGGGAAGGGAGATGGACTGCTTTAGGTTAGCTGTTTTGCTAAGCAAAATGAAAGAAGGAAGCAAAAACCACAGACAAATAATAAAAATAATTGAAATTACTTCATGCTACTCCATCTGACATGTTATTAGAAACACATGTAATACTTAACTTTTCAAAACAGGAGATTTATTTGGCAGTATCCTTTTCAAATGTATACTTGTCGAGAGGAAAAGATGGGCCTGAACCAAAACCTTGGAGCAGAACACCCTCCGGGAACATTAGCATTTGAATCCAAACTTTGTCTTAGGCCCATCTCTAATATTTTGAAAACTGAAATATGTTAAATCATTGGACAGAATAGCTTGGGGTTTTTTTTAAGGATCCAGAAATTAAACTGCCATCTGTCAAGAGGGAAAAAACCCAGAGTGTATTAAATAGTAAATGTAAAATTAATTAAACATGTTTCTTGCAAAGCTTACTTTTTTTTTCTGATAGATTTGTATTTGATCTTAGAACCACAGAAATAAATCTTACTCATAGTGCTGTGAATTCCTGCACAGCAACGAGAAGTTACACTTTTAAATGCTACAAGACAACAGCGCTCTATCGTATGCAGCTGTTGCAAATCGCTTTGTCTGCTTTAGCTATGTAAATAAAAGGACGTAGGACAGGTCCAAAACTCTAATTATTGTGAATTACCAACCTTCAGAAGACCAAATGAGGCGTAAAAATGATACGTACAAAATGAATGTGGCAAAATCGGATCCTTACATTAGCTGAGCAGTTACATAGTTCTCGGAAAGCATCACTGTAAGGAGGAGGATACGTGGAAGAGAATTTCAAAGGGAAAGACAGCCACCAGAAAATGTTAAAGTGCTTTAGTGTGGGTTAAAGTCTTCTCTGTTTTGTTTCTCTCCTTCCTCTAATTTTCTGAACCACATGTAAAAGCTGACATTCTATCCTATGTGTGTTTCAGTAACGTTAAGTATTTGCGGTATCCACTGTCTAACGCTCGTGAGCTCACTGAAACAACGTGCATTTACATCGGTAACTCCCTGGATACCTTGAGAAGTTGCCCTGGAGGAGCGAACTCCTTTCATACTGAGTCCCATTGTTCTGGCGCACCCGGCACCCTCCTCTGCACGCCTGCAGGGCCCCCGGGTGCGGGTGTTGCAGAGCGCCTGTCTTTCCTTTGGGGCTGCGGTGACACATGGCGCTGCCCTCAAAGGGAAAGGAGAAGCACTCGGGCTTAAGGACCTCCAAGAGTTTCTTTCTGGAGGACCAAGCAGATCACATGACTGTTGTTAGAAAGCGTGCAGACTATTTTATAAGGAACATTGCCACGATTACCACGCAACAGACTTCCTAGCCTCACAGAGGGCCCTAAACCCACCCATACGGTTCCCGGCAGCAGCAGAGGATGGCTAGGGAGGATATGAGCGTTGCTATTTTTCTACTAAAACAAAAGTAAAAGAATTATGTAGGCAAAACTCATCTTTTATTTAGAAACTGAAAACACAGGCTGGCAATTTACATTCACATCTACTTTAATGTTAAAACAACATCTGCAGGGCCTCTGTCTCCTCCATGCCTTGAGGCTGAAGCAAATCTGCCATTTGTTCTTGCTCCGAAATGGTCTCAGGTTTTATCACACACACACACCACCTAACTGACTTGACATGACAACATCAGTACTTATGCAATCTGCCTATCTCTCCATCTTAGAAAGAAATTATTTTATCCTAAATTAAGCTTTCAATAAACCTTATAGAAGCTTGCTAATCCTTACCTCAACTGTTCTGAAAGTTCAGAGCCTTTCTGTTGAAGATGTATTTCCCCCTCTCTAGTCACTGACTGCAGCTGTCCTGATTTACCACCCACACATCCTTTTTTTCACCAGCTATCACCTGGTGCTTCCAGGAACCTCACCCACACTCCAGGCCAATCACATGGGTATATTACTTTTGCTAATTAGCCAACCCACCCAGGCTGACCCAAAAACTCTAATTAGCATTACATTCCTAATTGAGAAATCTTACTCATGGTTTTTCAATGGGCTGTAGTAATGCAGTCCTTTTCAAGAGCCTTTCTTTCAGACAGTCAGAAACCTTGATACTTGATATTAAAGACAAGCTTTGAACCAGTCTTGTTTGCTGTCCTGAGCCAAGACCTCTAATAAAATCCAGGCTTCTTCTAAAACACCAGTTGTTGGCAAATTGACTACAGACTGTTATTTCTCACCTCTCCAAGGTGGTGTGCCAACGTAATTGTAAGAGCTGCTAACTCCTTATAGGCAACACAATCCCTCTGAACAGAGATGCTGGACTAGACCTGTCCTGCAGATGTATTCACCCCTCTTGGTTTTTTTTCTTGTCTTTTTTCCTTTGTTGCCCAGCCTAGAAGCTCATCCTCCCACCACCTTCTTTTAGTACAAACACGTTTTCCTGCACACAGTTCCGATCTACAAACTTGCCTGTTGCTGAGTTCAAACGCTGCAGAACTCAAGGACCAGAATGCAGAATAGATCATGGAGAATGACCCTGAACAGATTCTTGTTTGGATGCTCCGGGCTAAAGAGCAAAACTAGTAGTACAGAGGCTAGAAACGACAGTGTTTAGTATGGTTTAGGATGACCTAAGGGAGGTGTGGTAACTGCTGTCGTAAGGAGCCCTCTTGGTTTTCATTTTATGAAACACAACATTCATATCCCATCCAAATTCCCCAAAGAGAAGGAACTGCTGATGTTGATAGTAACGTTATATAGAACTGCTTATAGAATCTCTCCTGTTCAAAGGCGATTTATTGTTTATACAACTATTCTTAAAAAATACAACTTTACTTGTGGAAACCTCTAAGCCACATGAATGCTGAAGTATACTATAGCGATTTCTCGACTCTGCGCGTAACAATTGATGCTTTGGTGGCATAATGGTCTTTAAGGATATTGGCTAAGTTAATTATAACCAGAGCAGAAAACCCACTACTTGTCTAGAAGACAGATGTCTCTCAATGTCTCTGTAGCACTGCCTTCCTTTCCAGACTTACCTGAAACAGTCACCTTAGAATTTTAGGTGTAGAAATGGAGGAAGGAACTATTTGTTCTTCAAAGCTTGTTGTATTAGAATTTGATCAGTGGTATTACTTCTTTTTCTACCTTGTATATTTATATAAATGCAGACTGGATTCATATATACTTGAATAGTCTGAAGAATGTTGAAATGGGTGGGAGCAAAAGCAACAACTTGGCAGCGAAATAGCCCTTGGGCAAAAGAGATGCTAAACTGAGTCCCAGCAAAAATTGATTTTGATTTGGCTGAGTTTGAAGATTTTGTGAACTACAGTTGGAGCACGTATAGTTGTTCTTGGGTTTCGTTTGGTTTTCTTTGTAATGCAACGATAGAAGCTTTTCATAGGTATTTCAATATTTGAAGGGAAAGCCATGTTTTTCAGGTCAAGAAGTAGAGGGATCAATTGAGAATTGCCAAAATACGAGCTCAGTTAGATCTCATAAAGGAAACAAGAATAAATTGTAAAACAATTAAGTAACAGGATAACTAAGAAAAAATGTGATTGCTAAGCAGAGAGGTAATTTAAGTAGGTGTCAATAGTAAATGAATGTTTAAGGTGTCCTAGATTATGATAAATACAGCAGCAAGGGCAAGGTGGCAGGTGGGATAAAAGCTAAAAATGAGATGGAGATGAAAAATCAAAGATCTTCCTGGGCTCATATTGGTCAGACCAGATACTCTTCATCTCGGAAATTAAAACCAGCTGACTCATGAAATACAGAATTCCATACCAGAGATCTCTAACAACTGGAAAGGTGCAAGTTACACGGGAGAAAGTTAAGCACTAATATTACAGGAATTACATTGTGGGTAAGGAAAGGGCTGCTGAGGAGACAGGCAGGTTATTGAAGGTTATTGAAGGAAAACAATGGGGGGGGATAGAACTGGGATGTAGAACTCATGTAGAATTTTCATTCATTGAGTTGGCACAAAAAATTAGTGGTGTGCTACTAAAACTTGTACATGATACAGAGCTGGAAGACTACAGGACCAAAATATCAAGAAAGAATGAAGTTGATGAGTGAAGTTTATAAAAAAAAAAAAAAATTTAAATGCGATGTCCAAAATAATTTATGGACTAATAACATGCGTCTGTCAGAAATGCAGAGCTCACGAACTGAAATCTAATGGGAAAGATTTGTGCAGTGCAAAAACCCCAAAACTTATCACACGCTCAGTGAAGTATTTCTAGCCAGTGCTGGGCATGATGCTGTGTATCATTTACATCAGATGCTCAAGGATGAATGTAAGCTGATCAGGTGCAGAAAAGTGCTATTAAACTGACCGGGCAGATGGACGAGTCTATACCTACAGCATTGGGAAGGACATGTCTTGCTTAGTTTAGCAAAATAAAGGCTTGAAGGCAGTACAGTTTCTTTTTATAAATATATTATAGTGGTAAAGAACTAGGCAGAAACCAAGCTGGACTAAAGGACAG